TCTGTTCTGCACTATAGTGATTAGTAACACAGGCACGGGCGCCGTTGTGGGGGGGGAGTTAGGTTGATTCTGATTCTAAGGGCCCACGAACTTTGGGGGCCCACAGTTGGTGGGTAGAGGGCCCAACTTCAAATTTTTTCATAGGGCCCAAAACTGCTAGCGGCGCCCCTGAATACAGGTCACGTTATATTAATCATTTTGATGCTGTGCAGGTTTTAAAATGAGACTAAAGGTCCGTGGTTTACAGTAGATTGGAGCAGGTTTGGTCATAGTGAAGTCAAGTCCGATTTTACTTATATAAACAAATATCACAAACTGGCCTCAACGGGCTTTACGGTCTCTAAGTACTTATAATCACAACTGACGGGCAGTCACCACCAAACGACCAGAAATAGAAAGAATTTACACCAGAGACATTTACTAATAATGTCTGCTTCACCACAAACATGAGATCAGCGCTGATCTCACTGATAACTGGACTGTTTCGTTCCCTGCTGGGGAGATGGACTCATACACTGGAATATACGAGGCGTGTCTGCGCTGTGCGCGGTCACCTGACCAGGTGACATCACGCAGGTGTCAACACTCTCTATTTGAAGTGGGGATGGTATTACGACAAAGACCAGGAGAAGCGACATCCGTGTGCATGTCGTTGTTCACGTCTGCAGTCATGACTTGTAAGACGAGATGGATTCAGCTGTTGCTGCTTTTGTGTTGGATGCGGACCTGCTTGTCTGTGAACAGTAAGGCTTCTTCTGCACGTGTTGTTTCTACTGTCTTGTCTGACAAAATGCTCTGGGCGCACAAATGCTTTATTAAACTCTATATGTGGCCTAGAGCCCTGTTTGTTTAATTATTTGGTCCTGTTTGCATTTATAAGCTGGATTTATCTGTCATAAGTAGTTTGATCGTAAATATTACTTTTATGTAAAGTAGGATTTTGTAATGCAGATGAGTCATCCTCATGAAGTGCTGGTAGAAACCAGGTCAAAGGGCTCACAGCTGAAAGGAAGTGAGACCAGCTCCTGTTTGAGTTTGAGATGAAGTTGTTCCTAAAAAACCAGTACTTCTGCTTTTTGTATATTTGCAGGCTGTGCCTCAGACAGAGGCTTCACTGGCACAGAGACCAACAGTGGGGTGTGCCTCAGCTCCCATGCCGAAGATATCCTGACCAGTCGTCTGACAACAGTCTTCCTCCCAGTTGTCTACATCATTGTGTTTGTTGTGGCGTTGCCCACCAATGCCCTGGCAATATGGGTGTTCCTCTTCAGGACCAAGAAGAAGAACCCGTCATCCATCTTCATGGCCAACCTGGCTCTGGCTGACCTGCTCTTTGTCATTTGGACCCCCCTGAAAATAGCATACCACTTCAACAGCAACAACTGGATCTATGGAGAGGGGCTGTGCAAAGTGCTGGTGGCCTTCTTCTACAGCAACATGTACTGCTCCATCTGCTTTATCGCCTGTATGAGCTTTCAGCGTTACTGGGCCGTGGTCCACCCGATGTCTGAGCAGCATAGGAACAACTGTATAGCTGTGTCCGTCTCCACCGTGGTCTGGGTGGTGGTCTGGCTTTTCACCATCCCTCTCTACATGTATGACCAAGCGGTCCGTGTAGCAGACCTCAACATCCTCACCTGCCATGACGTCACCAGGCCCAACCAGAAAGACATAGCAGCAGGTTACTTCATGACAATGGGAATTCTGGGATTTTTTGCTCCCACTGTTGTGTGTGTCACATCCTACATCCTCATGCTCAGGGCTCTCAGGAACAGCATGGCAGATGCAGCCATCGCCAAGAAGCGACAAAAAGCCGTGGTCTTGATCATCACCGTCCTGGTAATGTTCCTGGTGTGCTTCACCCCCAGTAACATCATGTTGATGGTGCACTACAGCCTGCTGTTAGGTGAGACTACCAACAACCTGTACGGATTTTACATCACCACCCTGTGCTTGGCGAGCCTCAACTGCTGCATTGACCCTTTTGTTTACTACTTCATCTCGGAGGACTTCAGGGACCATGTGAAGAATACGTTCCTGTGCAGGAGCGAGAGGACGGTGGAGAGGATGAGGGTGTCCTTCAGCGCGCTGAAGTTCTCCAAGAAGAGCCAGACGTACACGTCGGAGTCGGGGAACACACAGAGCAGTGAATGCTAGTGGGTCACTGGACTTTAGACTTGATTTCTTTTTTAATTCTACTGTGATTTCTTCCATCTGTGAGGAGTTTTAGGAGTCATCTGTAGCAGAAGCTCTGGGCGGTCTAAGTTGCTGCTGTTTTTATTTTTGTAAATAACATTTTTATATCTTTGACAGCTTTTATTTAATGCACTGTTTCAGTTTTAATCCCATGCCATTTTCTGATTGCCTTTTCTTTTTGTCCAAGTTGTAATTTTGACTGAGATCCAACCAGTAAAAGGGCAAATTTAATTATACATAAACCTTTGCATACAAACATATCTTGCATATGTTGTTTTTCAGTTATAGGTACATTTTAAACTTTGTCAATAAAAGTTACTTGTGTTTTAAGCCAGTTTAGAACATCATTTGATCCCATATGATATATATAGCCTGTTTCACTTGAAGAAATGTCCAGTGAATTCAGAATCAGAATTGATGCCTTACTTTGTGAAAGAGACTGTCTTGATGTAAAAATCCAGTTTTTTCATTGAACCAAAATTAGATCTGAAGAGGTTCGTTATTGTCTAAACTGGAAAAAGAAAGTTTTACCAGACCTTAAAGACCAAATCACAATTACCATACTAAGGTGGGATCTGTTAAATATTACAAAGAAAGGGAGACATGGCTATATTTTTATTTCAAGGGTATTAAATGTGCAGTTGTAGTTTAATTTGAGGTTTGACAAAACTGGTTAAGAGAGCTGTAAAAAGAACCTTCCCTGAAGTCAAACACATCTTACAGCATTAACCAGTTTTTACAGGTTTCATACCTCGGTCAGTGTGATAAAAGTTCATACTAAAATCTTTTCAGCCTTAGATTCCCACCTCAAAGGTCTCAACCGCTAGTTCAGATTCTAACAGGAGAAGTCACATGTCTGCTAAGCCTCATATTTACATTCATTACTAGTTAACTCATAAGCTGTTTTTGTGATTCACGAGGCACAGATCACATTACCATAAAATACCAGACAGGGTGTGTTCATCACAGCAATGTCACTGTCATAAACAGACAAGGAACAGCATTTGGCAAATGTACAAAGGCCAGAGGATTCAAGAGTCAAGATTTTTATTTGCCATTTATGCGTAAACAGACAGTCTAGGCATATAGGACTTCTTGTGCAGGGCTCTCCTGGAGTCAGCTAAAGAGTTTAAAGCCAAAAGAGCAAACACCTAGTCTAAATATATGATCACCCAAGAATACAAGATAGTTAATAAAGTTGTGGATACAGAAATAAGATAGCAGGTAAAATGGGGAGTTTCAGATATTGCACATAGTGTAACTGTATATGGTCTTCTACTTACTAAGGTAATGAGGGCTTATTGCACGTTTTTCACATTTTCATATTAGTCATCAATCTTACTGCAGCACGGAAAAAGCTGTTGTAAAGTCTAGTTCTGTGTGTGATGATACCGTCCAGCCTGCTGCACCTGAGGTTGTAGGTGCAGTTTTTGTGTCTGAGCAGAGAGTGATCTGGGTGGCATGGATCCCTGATTATGTTCTCTATTCTTTTACGACAGTGATGTGTGTACAGTGTGTCCATAGCAGGCTGTTCAGTCCCAGTGATCCTCTCTGCAGTCTTTATGACCCTTTGAAGAGCCTTCCTCTCTGCCAGTGTGGTGTTACCATACCAGGCTGTGATGCCAACACTGAGGATGCTCTCTATAAGCCTGGGTGAGAGGGGAATGGTTCAACCCAGCTTTTCTGAGCTGTCTGGAGAAGTATAGCCACTGCTGGGCTTTCTTCACTGTGGCAGCTGTGTTCAGTGACCAGCTCAGGTCAGAAGTCACCTGCAGGCCCAGGAACTTGTGGCTGTCAGCCCTCTCCACCTCAGTCCCTTTGATGGTCAGAGGCAGCAGAGGGGAGGGGTTCTTCCTGAAGTCTACTATTATTTCTTTTGTCTTGTTTCAGGCTGAGGTTATTTTCCTCTCTATAAACAAGAATATTGTCCACCAAGCTTCTGTAACCCGACTCATCTTGATGAAGCCCAGGATGGTGGTGCCATCAGCATATTTAATAATGATAGTGTCGCCATGGTTGGAGACACAGTCGTGGGTGTACAGGGTGAAGAATTTGGGGCTGAGACAACAGGTGTTTAGTTCATCAGGTCATAAACTGGCTGTTCACAGGACATGAACGGCTTGACGTGAGGTCTGTGATAATAATAACCACTCATTTAAATACTTTTCCAAACAAAATACCAACCATATGATGGTTACAGCTTCTCAGATGTGAGTATACTGCTTTTCTTTGTCTTACATAGTAAAGAGGAAATATTTGGGGTTTTGGTCAAACAAAAGAAAACTGAAGACGAGCTTGTGATGCTTTTTTTTACAGTTTAAAAAAAGAAAAATACCTGGCAGATGAATTAGCACTGAAAATAATTGCTAGTTGCAGGTGACATTTAAACAATATTGCATCCCATTTTTACAAAGCTGTACCTCCTAACATAAGCTTTACAATGTGGAAGCAGATTTAAGAGTTTCCTCGTCCAAAGCACAAAGATAAACAACACATTGTAAATGCTTTCAACACGACCTTTAGGGGGATTTATAAGGTTACCTCTCTCATTGTGTTTCTAATGAAGTGTTCATATTAAATGCAGTAATCCCTTTTTAACTGAATACCACTAGAGGTCCAAAGGAGCAGGACCTAAGGTTCCATTTAAAATATGGGTGATGTAGTTTATAAATTCTAAAATCTGAAATGTTTTATCCAACATTTTAAATTCACAACCCTCGGGATTCTGAGTCAGAGTTCATGTGTTTATGTTGGCCCGCTGCTGTTGTTTGTTGCTGAGAGCCTCAGCCTGGAGAGAAAACCACCTGTTAGCAGACCAGATGGGCGGGCCAACAGTGACGTCAGTGCACACAGGTAGTCTCGGGGTGTGCCCTTGAAGGCAGAGGCTTTATCCGATATATGGAAAGTGTAGGTACTATCTCAAAGAACAGATCGTCGAGAGTTCACAGACATGGATTTGTCTCGGTTTTTGTTGCTCATCTTAATTCTCTGCTGGTTTTCTGCCACAAATGCGAGAACAGGTGAGATCGGTGTTCATCTGTGTTGATTGTTTAAGGGAGAGATCGTTCGTTTACCTGCTGAGCTAGAGGGACACGATTAGTCTTGTCCCAAGAGATGTTCATATAAGCCTTGAATATTTAAGTACGTGTTAATATTTATGTTGCTAACGATAAATACCTGTTTTTAACATTATTAGATCTTTCTAATGCAGAATTTATGACTTTGGGTTTTGGGCATCGCCCAAACCGACGGTGTGTCGGGAAATGTAGGCGTTTCTAACTTGAAAATAATATGGGCCTACGCCAAGAGTAACTTATACAACTACTGTTTAATGGCGACCTCTTTAAGATTAGGAAAAAGACGGCGTTATTTTTAAGTTACACAATTTGAAGTTACAGTACTGTTAATCTTTATAGTTATTTGTATTAGGGCTGTATTATTTTGGCCCACTTTTATACTTCTGCACACCTGTCAGTAATTTATCTTTAATATTTTATGCCTAAAAAGTATCAAATAATAATAAAAGGAGCAGTCCACATGGTGTTTTCTAACTATTTCCTCTGCCCAACCAACAATCTGAAACCCAAAGATACTCGACTTATATCAGAAAAAAAACATGTTTAACATTTTTGCTTGATCAGAATAGTCAAATAATGTTCTGTCCATTTGCCAGTCAATTGTTTTGTCAAGTGTTTTGGCTCTAAATGATGTTTAATTTTATAATTTTTAAGAGAAAGGACGGGGATTCTTCGGTGTTGTTGACCCTGAAAATTCAGGACAAGTAGTTGTGGACAAGACAACATCAGACACGCTGAAGAATGGGCTCACCACAGTCTTCCTCCCAGTCGTCTACATAATTGTATTTGTGGTGGGGTTTCCTGCCAACTGCATGGCCATCTGGGTCTTCCTCTTCAGGATCAAGAAGAAGCATCCGTCAACGATCTACATGGCCAACCTGGCCCTGGCTGACCTGCTGTTTGTCATCTGGATACCTTTAAAAATCTCCTACCACTTCAATGGCAACAACTGGATCTACGGAGAGGGGCTGTGCAAAATCTTTGTGAGCTTCTTCTATGGGAACATGTACTGCTCTGTGCTGTTCATCACCTGCCTCAGCGTGCAGAGGTACTGGGTCGTGGCTCACCCTCTGTCCCAGCAGAGGAAGAACAACAAAGTGGCTGTCGGTGTGTGCGTAGCCATCTGGGCCTTCATCTGGCTCACCAGCACCCCTCTGTACCTGTACAAACACACCGCCAAGCTCAAAGACCCCAACGTGACCACCTGCCACGATGTCAGTATCATACATGACCCCGAAAATCCGTTCCCCTCTGTGCAGCTCCCCTATTACTACTTCATCTTCATGGGCATGGTTGTGTTCCTCGTCCCTTGTGTAGTGATCATTGTGGCCTACATCCTGTTACTCAGGGCCCTGGGGTCCAACATGCAGGAAAGCACAGCATCAAAGAACCGAAACAAAGCTGTTCTATTGATCGTGACCGTCCTGGTGACATTTGTAGTGTGTTTCATTCCTAGTAACATCATGCTGGTGGTGCATTACTCTCTACTGAAAGATGGCGTGATAAATAATGGTTACAGCTTCTACATCACCACTTTATGCCTGGCCAGTCTCAACAGCTGCCTGGACCCGTTCATCTACTACTTTGTGTCTGAGGACTTCAGAAGCCACGTGAAGAACACGTTGCTGTGCCGGAGCAGCAGGACTGTGGAGAGGATGAGAGTTTCATTCAGCTCCCTGAAGTACTCCAAGAGGAGCAAGTCGTATGTGTCGGGTAGTAGGAACACACAGAGCAGCACCTGTTAGCCAGAGCAAGGAGATGGCATGGTTACCACTGTGTTGTACAGGCTGTAATAATGGACATAAGGCCCATCAGTGGCAGCTAGGTAGCCTCGGCATCACATAAACAAACATGAAGATGATTGTGCTGGGATGAGACTATTTAAAGATATCTTCAATATGAAATGTGGTTTGGTGTTAAAATGTGAAACCTGAATATATATATGTATAGTTATTTGTCTTATTTTATATAAATGAAATGAGGCCATTTAGCCCGTTTGGCTGCACAGGATGTCTGAGAAACGTGGATTTCACTGAGATTTTGACTGACAGGCTTATTGCACTAAAGACCTGATGTTCACACAGTAAAACGAGGGTTCTGACTTTTGGTGAATTCCTGCAGCCAACAAGTTGTATCTTGTCATTTTAGTCTGCTTGTTGTGATGTGTTTATTTACTTTTAAGATTTAAAGTGACTAGGAAATGGAATTGTTACATCATTTCTAAAATAAATGCTAAAAACAGGATATAGTTTCTGTGTAACTCTGTGCTGTTGCGTAAGCGATTAATGTTCAGTGTGGAGTGAGTCACTGGTTTGATGTTCAACGTGCAGCTGGTAGTGAAACTCTGTTCGAGTTCATTCTCTACTCTTGGAAAATGTTAAGAATGTGTTGTGAATGGATTCCAGTGCCAAGTTGTCTGGGCTCGTTTTTTTTTTAAACAAATATGTTTATGTTCATTTGGTTGATAATGGTTCTGTTTTGTAAAAGAGTGTCAGAGTGAAAGAATGTCCCACAGTGTGCTGGGACATGTCCTAAACGCGTCGTCCTCCCAGTAGTTTCAGTGACAGCACATTTCACCTCTGTGTGAACCACAAAAAGCATGTACAGTGCACAGCTCGCCTTACGAGTTCTGAGCCACTTTCTATTTATGGATATGCCCTGTACGACTTTCCCTCTTTGAGGTGTTGAGTTCGGTATCAAATGCAGTGTTTTCCTAGTTGTAGCTCATATGTGTTAAAGTTGTACTTTTTATTTTTATTTAAAGTCTCCTGCTTAATCCAACCCATACATAATTCTTAAAGACAATACACTGGGACAGAGTCTTATTATGAGCTAAAGTTAATGGTCTTGGTCGTCTTCCATCTGATAAGGAGTAAGTGAACTGCAGCTTTTCAATCAGTAACCCCACCCAAAGAGTCATCGCCCTCCCCCACGTACACTCACACAGGCTGTGATTGTGATGGCTTCCTGTTTAATGAGTGGTTGAGGCAAAGCTCTGGGCAGTTTACAGAGGTAAATGATTGTTGTGGAGTGTCACCTTACCTTTTGTCAGCACTCTCAGTAGCTGGGGGCAGAGCCGCTCCCGACCCGTGTCCCTGCACATTGCTCCTGTTGAACAGGAGTCCAAGCATAAAGAAACGTCCATAGTCAACGTTGCATCATTTCTGAGAGAATGGTGTCAGGACAAGGGAATCTGTAGACCTAAAAAGGATTATAAGTTGACAGTTTTATTAAAAAGAGAAGTGTCATTTTAAGACCTGTTAAAGTTTTTCCTAAAATTCCACACTTAGAACTTGGCTGTGAAATCATGCTTTGCTTAAAACTTAGGGTTTATGATGAATTATTCAGGGAGCGGTATTTCCTGTAGCTGAGACCGTGATTATGTAGTTGACTTTGTAAATGACGCAGGTGTACATGTAAAAAAAATCCTGTTTTCCTAATATGCAAATGTGGAACCTTTTCTCCATAACATAGTCATGATTTGTCCCCACAGCTTTACTATGGTAACCATAAGAGGTGGTGCTGGCATGGCAAGAATGCAAAGTCTTCTCTTATTATGGGCTGTGATGTCGTCACACGTACAGGCACACTTACAGTAGCTGCACTGGCTTTTCTTTCTCTGAGTTAACTAAGAAGATTGACTCTCGTCTTTAACAAAATAATATGAATGAATATGTAAATATTTGCATAGCACAAAGATGAAAACAAGATGAACATCCTGTCTCTCTTTACCAGCACCTCATACCTGCGTTCCTCAGGATGTCTGTGGAAGGAAAGTCTGCAGATATTTATTTACATTTATGTATTTTAAAAATTCTTATTAAAGGCCTTTTATAACCATCCCCTCTGAGTGCCTTGATTGGACTGATTTGTGTCACGTCTAATCCGTGGACAGGGGTAGATTTCTTCCATTGTATTGTCACTTTTACACTGTGTTTTTTTGTACAGGTGAGCAAACTAGCAAAGAATATATTGATATCGACAAGGGTTAGATATATTTTGGACGGGAAAGCATTACGCATTTTGTATTCTTCATTGATTTTATGACCCAAGATACTTAAACTCCTCCACTTGGGTCATGACTGAAAGGGCAAGATCCCGGATACAGGCGGCCAAAATGAGCTTTCTCCGCAGGGCGGCTGGGCGCACCCTTAGAGATAGGGTGAGGAGCTCGGTCACCCGGGAGGAGCTCAGAGTAGAACCGCTGCTCCTCCACATCGAGAGGAGCCAGCTGAGGTGGCTCGGGCATCTGTTTCGGATGCCTCCTGGGCGCCTTCCTAGGGAGGTGTTCCGGGCATGTCCCACCGGGAGGAGGCCCCGGGGAAGACCCAGGACACGCTGGAGGGACTATGTCTCTCGGCTGGCCTGGGA